CATGGTAGCTCCACGGCACTCGGCCCATTCCTCCTGGCCCTGGTGCCTCCCACTTCGCCCTTACTGCACTCCGCAGTGTGCTCTCAGCCACCTCCCGGGTGTGCCAATGCCTCTTCCCCCAGCCTGGAATGGGCACCTCTCCTTCCCCCAGCCAGGGATGCTCTGTGGCAGCCCCTACCTGCAGGCTTTAAAAGCCAGTAGATCTTTTGCACCCCAGGGTACACACACCAGGACCTTTGAGGACTGAAGGCCCTGTGTGCCCCCTGGACAGGACCCAGGCTCCTGCTGCTAGTCCTGTCCAAGAAATGGAGCTATTGTTTGGCCACAGGTGTCTGTTGCAAAGGGCTGCAGCCTGTGTCCCCCCCTCTCCATCCCAGGGATCCCCAAGGGCTGCTGCCTGGCTATCTCTGGCAGCACAGCCAGCACCTGCTCCCTGCTGCTGCTTACCCCCAGCACTGTCTCCTGTGCAGGTCCTGTGCCACATTTGCATCTGCTATGTGGCTCCCAGTCTCTGTCTGTGACCTGTGATGGGAACTGCTACCAGCTCTCCAGAGCCAGCCTCACAGGAACAGCTGCACGGGGGCCCAGAGAGCCGGCACGGGACACATCACCATGTCCTCCCCTTCCTGCCCATTGAGGAGTGGCCCTGCCCATGTGCACATGCCCAAACCCTCCACCTGGGGCCTCACCTGGAGCTAGCAGAAGGTTGGTGCCTCTGTGGCTCTCTGGAGGGATGTGCAGGTCCAGAGGCAGTTGATGCAGGGCAGGCACTCAAGCATCCACATTTATGAGGTCCCATCAGGCGGGATGCCTGAGAGAGGCCACTCCTCATGGTGTGACAGTGCCACATCAAGATCAAGACCTTGTGAGCGCAGTGGGTGGCCATGACTGACTACAACTGTTGGCCCAGTTGTGCCTGCAAGACCATATCTTTCATGCAGGAACTGACCCAATGTTGGCACCCCAGGACCCAGGCCACAATCCTGCAATTTACACCAGCAGGGGGGAAAGGGGAGAAAGCCCCTGCCCTGACCCCTCCGGTGGTGACATCTCCCCAGAGATGTCCCTCAGGTGTTCACCTCCCTGCCCTTCCCACCTGCACCCACTAGCAGCTCAGGGAGCCCTAGCCAGGGACTGACTTGACAGCTCTGCACCCCAAGATACACCATGAGAAGCAGCTGGCCAAGATGCCACCAGTGCCAGCCCCTCCCTGGGGGAGTTCCTGGCCAGGCACCGGCCCACCTCACCACTCAGGATGAGGACACTGGGCAGAGCTGGTCACTGTCACTGATGGGGAGTCCAGTGCTAAGCCACCAGACTCACTTGCCCCAGACACAAGGAAAGTCCTGCCCCATCCTGGTCCCAGCCCCTGTCCATCCCCCTCTCTGCCCAGCCCCCTGCACTGCACTGGCCCTGGATTCCCCCACCCCCTTCCCCAACATGCAGAGAGGTGGGTTGCAGCTCATAACTGTATTAAGCAGCCCATGTCCCCAGACCTGGGTGGGCATGGGCCTGTCACACCCAGATGAATGCAACAATGCTGGCAGCAATGTCCTCCTCAGCATTGGGTCAGGAACACATGGCACTGCCACAGACTGTCCCTGAGGCCACAGCAGAGATTTCAGTGCAGCCCGGGCTTGCTCCCTGCACCATCGTACCTCAGGGTCCCAAACCAGGAATACAGGTGGGCCTGGGTCACCAACAGGATCAGCAGCAGCAGGGTGTAGTGGCTCAGCACCCCACTGCCTACACAAAGAGCTCATCATGCACCACCCGGGGCACACGCAGCAGGGACACACTCAGGGTGCAGTGGCAGCAGAGGGGGCCCATCCCTGGGGCTCCTACCTGGAGAGGCCCCAGCAAGGAGGGCAAGGGCAAGGCTAGTCCCTCACCCAGTTGTCTAGGAACCCTGCGCACCCTGAGCCCAGGTGCTGGGCAGCAGTGCAGCAGAGCAGTTGGCCTGTAGGAGGAGAGCAGGGGAGCAGGGTTTGGAGCCACAGCAACAGGTGCTGCCAGCAGCCTAGCCTGTCCAGCCTGGGAAGGGGGTGGAGGAGACAAACTACCTGCAACCAGCACCCCGCATGCTGCCATCCTCAGGGGAGTGCATGGGGGTGGGGGTTTGGGCAGTTGCTGGCTGGACCCACCCCACCTGGCTGGCTTACCACAGTCCCTGGCTACCCACTGGGCTCACATGGAGGCCCTGGAGAGGGAGCACATGGAACTGCTCTGGCAGCAGGGGGACACCAACCACCAGGCCATGGTCACTGTCATGGCCCTGGCAGCCATGACCCTGTCCCCACTGCCTGTCCCCCACCCATGGCCCTACAGGGCCCCTGAGTCCCACCCTCCACCCCACAACTGGCTACCACCTGGTCCTGGCTGTCCAACACCTCCTGGCTGCTGCAGCCCCTGGTCCTGCTCCTGGACCCTGCCACCTGCCTGGGACCAGCCCTGCCACTCTCCCTGAGCCTGTGTGGGTGAAGAGGCAAACTGACCAGCTGCAGGACCTCAGGGAAATGCTGGCCTTGCACTTGGACAGCCGCCCCACACTCCGCGACCTGAAGACTGAGACTCTTGTAAATATTTTTGACACTGGGAAGTGGGGTTTTTATTGGTGGTGGGTGAGGAGGAGGGTGGTGGAGGGGCACTGTGTTAGAGAGGGAGGGAGAAGGTGGCTGTTTGTTGAGCGGGGAGGGGAAGGGATGGCAGTCGGGGTTGTGAGGGCAATAAAGTTATTTGTTTTACCCATGTGTATGTCTAGAGGGTGGTGCTGGAGGTGGGCAGGGGTGGGGGTCCATTGGTGCTGAGCCAGGTAGGCTGGAGTGGGGAGTGCAGAAGGAGGGGTTCAGCCAGGGCCTCCTGAAGCCAGTGCCCTGGCCCCCATTGTTGGGTGTATGGCAGTCCTGGGGCCTAGGTGGATCAGGGGAGTGGTATGCTGGGGCCAGCAGGGCTAGCACCATGGCCAAGAGGAGCATAGGGTGCTGGTGGTCACTGGAAGGGGCTAGGCTGAATCTGCAGGGCACTGGGAGTCACTGGCTGAGTCACGGGCAGGGGCAGCCATCGTGCAGGGAGGCACAGTGGGAAAGGAGGGAGATGCTCTGTGCTACTCCAAAACTGGGCATGCGGCTCCTGGGCAGGGAAGAAGCTGGCCAGAGATTAGAGTTTCCAAGATGGATGCCAAGTGCTGGCAGCTGGGTCTGGCTTCAATATGGCTGTCAGCACTCCTTTGGGTGTTCACAGGGGCACGTGGCAGGATTGGAAGGACTTGGGACTAACTTTAGTTAGTGCACACACTGCATGTGCATACACTGCCAAAAATAAGTTAATGCTCATTACCTTAATGCACATTAAATTCAATCACCCTTATTTGCATGTATAGACATCCCCTGGGTGTCTGAATGGTCTGACCTTAAACCTATAGATTAAATTCAAAAGAGAACCCAGGTTTCATAGTGTTCTACTTCAAAGTATCCTACAGTCAAGTAGATTCATTGTCCAGGTTCAGGGACTTGAATCACTCAACAAAGAATAAGTTACCTAGTCATAATATCACAATGGTTGTCACGTTAAAAAAGGAGCCACATTAGCTACCAGTAGAAACTTCTGAAAAAATCACCAAAGCTTGAGCCTTACAGTTCTCAAAGAGAATGGAATTAGACACATTTAGTCAAGGAAAAGAAAAGGTGAATTATTTAATACACTCTTGTCTATGATTAATTCAGCAGCATTCATGCCTTTCAGGCTTCTCTGCTTCTATGGTGCTTTAAAAAAGGTTGATATAAGAATGGCCATAGCAGTACAAACATTCTTATGGTTAAAGAACTTAATTGCTTATAGAGTAAACGCCAGTGTCAATCACTTACATGATATCAGAATATTTTAAAACTCAGTTCTCATTAGCCTACAACATTCTTTTCAAATATTGAAATTTGAGGTGCACCAGTACATCAGTCTATATTGTATCAGCATCAATAAAAGGAAAATTGACATTATTGGCAATCAGCTTTTTTTGGCTGATGTGGCCGATAATGTTGCCAATAAATGCTGCATGCATGTGCAGCCACAGCACAGCATGCAGGCAGCCAGGAGCACAACTTGGCACCATAGAGAGCGGAATCTGGGTGGTAAGTCTGTTGGAGGGGAAGGGGCGTTGGGGGAGGGCAGACCGGCGCCCCCACGGTGAGGGAGGGAATGGGGCTGGTGCTGGGGCTGGGGCTGGAGCTGAGGCAGGCGCTGTCCAGCCAGGGCTCAGTGCGAGGTGAACCCACAGCTCATTCGGGGGGCGTGGCAAGGGATGGGTGGGGTGGCTCTCTCCACTACACACACCCCGGAGGACATGGGAGTGTGTGCCGCCCAGATCTATACATGCAGTAAGGGCAGGCTGCTGCTGCAGCCTGGGGCCAGGGGCAGCGCTGGGGTCTTCCCTGTGGGGGGGGAGGCTGGGGCTGTGTTTGGGGCAGGTGGCGATGGTGCTGCAATGTGGGGGGCTATGGGATGAAGTGCAGCTACCCCAGAATTCACCATAGCCCTAGTTGCAGTGCCACTGCCACCCACCCAGAGCACAGCCTCAGCCCAACCCACCAGCCAGGAAGAAGCCA